GGGAAAATGAGAGAAGGCTAGCCCGATCGTGCCTGGCTCGGAGTTGTAGGTTTGTTTGGGCATGATGCTTGCGTAGGTAGGCGTTGCACGGGCGATGGTAGAAGAGGTTATGCTGCTGTGGGCTATGATTCGTCTAGAGGGCTTCTGCGCGTGTGTTTCAAGCTTGCAGCACTCCACGGATCATAACTAGACATCACCAGAACTAGTCCTCACAACCTATACCCCACAAATTTACGTACGCCCCAAACCTGTCCTTCAGGGACTGAAGCTTGGTGACCCAAAATCTCCAAACCCTGAACTACATAATCACTGAACCCCAACCCCTAAACTTCTGAACCCCAAATACCCGTAGAATCCTACAAAGCCCTTATTGCGCCTTAACCCCATACAACCCCTACATAACCCTCATGTACCACTTATCTCTAGTTCCTATATGACCCAACCCACAGGGTCCATGTAGCTATATGGTATATACTTAGCCCTTAAAGTAGGTACATGGGAACCCCTTTGGGCCCTAAGTATTTACCATATACCTACATGGACCCTTTGGGCAAATAAACCCCAAACCCTAAACCCTAAATCCTAAACCCTAAACCCTAAACCGGGGCGCCCCCCCTAGGAGCCCTCCTCGCCGCTGCTGGCTGAAGCCAAGCAACGCCTCGGGAACCGCCCAAACGTTTGTACCTTGAGTATCACTTGGGTTTACGGTTTAGGGGTTTAGGGTATGAGATATAGGGTTTAGGGTTCAGGATTTAGGGTCTGAGGTTTGGGGGGTTTAGGGTTGAGGGTTTGGGGTTTATAGGGTTGAGGGTTTTTCAGCCTTTAGGGTTCAGGGATCAAATGTGGCTTTTTTGTAAGGTATAACCTGTGAAGCATTCGAATTCGTGGGAATTTGAAATAAGGGCTGTAAGGACTCCCTAAACCCGTCTAAACCACAAGCCATAAGCCGTGAACCCTACGTACTCCTAAAGCCCCTGGAGCCTAAAACCTGTATAATCTTTTAATAAGAGCCCCTAAGCCCTAAACCTTAATGTCTATAGACACTCTGAATCCCTAAATTTCCCTAAATCCCAAACCTTCATCCCTATAGACACACTAAGCTTGCTGAGGCTTCCTAAAAGAGCCTCTTCAAAGCTGGGAGCCGGCAGCAGGACGCTACGACGTCCCCTGGATGTAAGTTAGGGGCCCAAACTTGGAGGGTCATGGGGACTTACAAAGTAGGCTAATAACGGTTAATAATTCCAATAACTAGGGTGATTATATGGGTTATAAGGGTAATTAACCTAATTACTTACTAAGTCCCCCTGACCCTCCAAGAACTCCCTATGATTTCCTTCGTGCATGGTTGGTTGTACATGTTGGGGTCGTCTAGCGGAACCTGAAAAATTCGAGTATAGATTTCAGATGTTGAGAATCTTGGGGCTTCAGCTGCAGGGTGCAGGGGCTTAGGACTTAAGTAAGAGCTTGATGCGCAGGACGACAAGTAACTGCACCTAACCTCTACTGGCATGGCCTTGAGTTTCATGTATTTGCCTTTTTGAAGATGGCTTCAAAGCTAAGGGTTCGAAATCGGTATTAGTTTGAAAGCTCATGAGGTTTCCCTATAAGGGTCCAAGTACCTAATCATCATATACTTACCAAAAACCTGCTCTATAATTACTATTACCCAACAACCCAAGTACCTAATTATTGGGTATTTGGACCTTTTGGGTTTGAGTCTCAGGTTTACGGGCTCCTTCGGCTCAAAGTACCACAGCTCATGCGAAAGGATGACGTAGGACCCATGAGGACCCCTGTTTTCTTGAGAGGACTATGGATCCTAACAGCCCAGCTGATGGATCATGGCTTAGGCTTTAGAGTATAGACTCGGGACCTGTGATCCTAACATAAAACCACTTTGAAATATCTGCCTTGAGTCGGCTCTGCTTGCCCAAACGCAAGGTATAGCGCCAAGGGCTTGTGGATAGGGCTTGCAGCGTTTGGCTTACGAAGCAGCATTGAGGGTTCGCGTTTGGAGCCGTGACTGCGTCTCACTCTTTTAAGCCGGCTTTTGCAAAGCCCGAGGTGATTTGGCTGCAGTGGGTCCTCCTACACCTTACGGATGACGACATTGTAGCCCTTCTGTCAAGGCCGCAACGAGCAGTTTTGGAATTCCTGAGGTTTGGGGTTTCGCCCTAGGCTTTAGAAGTGAGGGCGTTGTGTAGGACACCGCAGGACTTGCATACAGGGTCCAGGGCCTCCGGCTTCCAAGCCTCAGCCGGTTTTGGGGCTTGGGCTGAACACGTACGGCTTTTGCACTGTTGGGCTTATGCCCGGCTGACATTGTCAGGTGCCGAGACTGCTTGCGGCTGAAGGCAAGGCTCAAGAAAGCTGAGACAGGGTTTGGAGGTTTGTTTGGGGTTTATTGCTGCTACATATTGGGTTATATAGGCCGCCCTACCAAAGGGGATGAGTTGCAGACAGTGTCATGCGGGATTTGTTCTTATTGACAGAGATCTTGAAGAAGATCTGTTCTGACTTGAACTACCAAATACGCTTTAGAACGTTCATGTTGCAGTCACGTTGGGGCTTCTAACATGACGTCAGCATTACTGACAGCTTTGCAACATGCGGCTACCATATCAGATTTTGGAGACACTTGCATGAACCATAAAAGTCCTTCATGGACTCGCACATCTTTGTCCATGTAAAATCATGCCAGTCCTATAGTACTAGCTGTCATGTCACGCTTAGCTGCTGCTTGTGCCGACCGACTGTGTTCTGTCACTGAAGCAGGGCATCATCTGCATCAAGGACAATGTTGCTCCACGCAGCGGATGGGTATCCTGGATTGTCAAAAAGCACGGTTTTCCTATTTCCAACCGTAGTATTTCAGAATCAGAACGCAACAGACATGAAGCACTTCTGGGTTTTGCGAGACTGTAGTCATGGAGCTACAGAGGAAACACAATCATGTCTCCGCCGTCCGACTCTAGGGTTCCCTTACCTACTGTTCGCGCACCACCAAAAGTTCGTCTGTGCGTAATGAGCTTGATAAGCGGCAGCGGAGAAGAACAAAACGCTGCGCCATTCAAACTTACGTTATTGTCAAATAAATCTATCGTGCTTAGCGACTTAAGCTGGTGTATGGACATGGTATTCTCCGAACTTCCAGGAGTGGAACTAACCCAACCAATGGCACATACTGCAAAAGCCGAAACATTTGCTGTCTCGTAACATGGTTCAAGTATATTTCACTGTCAATCCTCTGTCAATCCTCTTCATGCCATCTCCTGTCCCCTGAACTAGTACTGGGCGTCATCTGAGCATGTTGCTCAACAAGACCCGTAATGTTTGAAGTAGAGCGCCACTGAAACATTCAGCTCAGACTCCTCAGCTAACATACGTAAGAATAGGAGCAGCAGGCAGCTGCTACCTTGACAATTCATACTACAGTCCTTTAACAAACTCAGTACCAACACAGCAGGCTATGCCCAAGGTTTGTATGGTAGCAGCCCGACCATACACAGCTTCGCCCATCTGCAGGTAGTGGAACTATCCGCACCTTGGCGGCACTTTCCGAGAAGTTCCAGCAATCAATTGCGGCAGATTTCCAAAGCAACCCTAGAAGCCCAGGTACCCATCTAGTAGGTTCTTGGGTTATAGATACTATAAATTTATATAGGGACCCAAGGACAAGAACCCAATATATAGGTAACTGGGCTTCTAGGGCAACATAATAATCGGCGACGAATCTCCTCAATCTGGGAGCGCTGCTAGAGCTCTTGGACGTTCTTCTGTTCTGTGAGCGCTGTCCTGGTAATAGTGGGTTTCGCACGAGAACAAGGAGCAGTAGGTAAGCAATTGTCTATCCAAACTCTAAGGGTCGAAGTGATACTGGCTCTTGAGAGTATGTAGAGACATATAGGGACCCCGGATTGAGAGCCCACAGTAGGGGCCATATTTCCAACTTAAACGAGCCTGCCCGTTTAGGACCATAGCATCGCACGAACGGAGAGCCAGTACAAGCGGCTCTTTCGGGAAGCTGGCTCCTCCGCTGCAGTTTGTGAGGTTTGGACTCATTCGTGTGCCATGTGCTTAATTTCACGGTGGACTCAGTACAGGACACGTATGTGTTGAAAGAAGTGCTGGAGTTCTCCGCTTCCGGACATTCTTGTCCCAAAGGTATGGCTGCACAGCTGTAACTTCTCGGGTTTGCTTAGGTGTTGGGTATGTGTCAACAAACATTCCAGCTCTGATCGCTCAGCCTTTGTCCCTGAACTCTCTATCGCAGCGGTCATATATCGACTCTGGCGGAAGCAGCCGCAATGCTAAGATTCGGTGCTGTACCCCAACCATCCTCTGCAGGCATACATATGCCAAGTAGCCTTCGGGCCGTTTTGGAGTTCCATCCGAAGCAAAAGGATCCTCCAAGCTTCCCTGAGCAAGCCGTACTTTCAAGAAGTGCTTTCAAATTCGCTATGCTCCGTGCATAGGTTGTCACCCCTGTATACTCCCATCAGGCCACTCTGCTATACCCGTAGCTCGCTGCCCTTTTGGCATTTTAGACTCCAGCCAAGGTTTGCGTGTTGAGCTTCAGATGCGGCAGACGCAGTGGCCGTCCAGCCTTCTGTCGGTCAAGATGTTTGCGTTGCGCCTTGTGGAAAAGAACGCGGTGATTCTCATGCATGATTGCAGATCTAGGGTAGACTTAGTCCCTTGGAATAGTGGGACCGGTAGTGTCTCCAAAGTGAGGTTTCCTGCAGGCTTTGAGAAGGGGATTCCGTTAGCATTACAAGCAGGCAGGGTGAAGAGACAAAGCTGCTTGCAGACAGGCCTTCTAAACAAGCTGCTGCCTTGATTACACTCAGCCCGGCGTGTCAGAACCAGCTTCCTGGATTTTCTGCCTTTGCTGTACGGATCTCTGCTTTGCAGTCATTATGCATGTTGATTTGCATCATGCCTGTGATGATCCCCAACGCTGCAAAGCGTCCCGGCAAGCCAATCTGAGCCGCGGGGAGGTCAGCTGACCTTCACCCCGGTGCACAGGCCCTGGCGGCGGCTGCTTGAAAACATGGTTGGGTCTGGGAGAGATTGCTGAATTGAGTGCTGATCCTCAGAAGTTTGCAGCGGAAGTCTAGCTTAGGCCTTGGGGTTTATGAGCCCTTAGATCCTCGATGAACCATGGAACTGGAACTATATGCATCGCGCGCACGATTCTAAACCCATGTGCAGGAAATGTCTCATACGACAATTCTAGGGTTGCTATCCGGGGTTTGGATCCAGGCCTGCTCACACTGAATAAAGCATTCCGATTGATGGCTGTGCTCTGAAACATGTAGCTTTTCGGGGTGGTGCGAGAGGATTGGAGGAGCACTGGGTCAATATATTCTTGCAGGGCTGCGCATCATTGTAATCGGCATATATCTTGCATGGAAGCCATAGCCTCATCGTAGCTCAATCCAGAGTGCTGTTGGACCTTGTGCCTACCGCCATCCTGTCAGCTTGTCCTGCCATGGCTTTCTTGAGGGTTGCCCGCGCGTGCAGATTCTGTGCTGTTCGTGCGATTAGCACAGCCAGCCTAACAACCGAGCAGCTGAAACGAAGGTGCCAACGCCTACAGCAGTTATATGGAAGTTTGGAAAGAAATCTGCTGGCCGAATTTGAGTTCGATGATGTGGTATACAAGTTGCCACTAAGGTCCGTTCGAAGAACCTCTCAGCAGCCTTTGGACCAAGGAGAGTTGGAATACATGAGTGGTTTCTTTGACGGCGATGGATCTGTGAGTGTCAATAAGAACCGTCCTTGCCTGTCAATCAGTCAAGATGCGAGAAGAGCCCAAGTCCTCATGAAATTCAGGCAGCAGCTAGGAGGGGGCGTATACAGCCATGGGATCAAAAAAGCAAACCAGATGCCTTGCCTAAAATGGTTTGCAGGTGGTGAGAACGGAGTGCAGGCTGCAGCTCTCTTAGGAAGCCAGCCATCTATGAAACAAGCGCAGCTGCAGATTGCGGCAGCCTGGCCGTCCTCACATGCTGACCGTATTCTAGCTGCGCAGCAGTTGATTCGTTTAAAGAGTAAGGATTACCGCCCGCAGAGCTTCAAGTGCTCGTGGCCGTATTTCGCTGGTTTTTTCGATGCTGACGGTTCAATCATAGTTCGAGCGGAGTCTTGCACTCTGGCTCTGTCGCTTGTGCAGGCGAACCCGTTTTTACTAGATAGGTTGTACGAGTTTTTGGTGGAACACCAGATTGCACGATGGCAACCGGTAAGGTGCCACGCAGATGGAATGTATAGACTCGAATGCAGCCACACTGACACCTGCATTCATACCTTGCAAAAATTAATGGGGTCTGGTCTGCTCCTGAAGATGGACCAAGCTAGATTGGTGCTAGCGTTGAACAAAGACAATTACCTGAAGGTTCGAGAGCGCTTGTTTGAAATGCATGGCAGGCAGGGTCGGTATAAGCGTCTGGACGCAGATGGAATTGCCCGGGCCCGAGAGATCCGCAACCTTGCCAGGTGCCGCAGGAGGAGTCGCGATGTGGATAAGGAGGATCGCCTGCGGGAACTGCGGGACCATCATTCTCGGAAGAACATGGAGAGCCGCTTGCTCTTGCTAAGACAAGACATCCGCAACTTCTTGCAGGAAGAAAACCTGTCTCCTGTGCCCAGCCTCATAGTACACATCTTCCAAATACCCTCTTGTTTGGTTGGATCCGACCCTCAAGTAGATACGTACCTTAGGCGCCGTGGAGTTGAGGGTCTAAATGCATACTTGACTGGCCAACGGTGAATACACGTGCTGGATGTCTCTAACCTGCCCACAGGTCTGCATAGGTCTGCAACATTGGATCTCTGGAATATGAAAAGCATGGACCCTAATATGGGCCCTTGGGCTTTTTAAGGGTATTCTAGGGACACTTAAGGGAACATATAGGGTATATAGTAGGTATATCATGATCCCGAGGTTAAGGGCCCATGAGAGGCCCATGGTTTCAACCTTAGATTCTCAAATTTCCTCCCAACGTTTTCAAGCTTCAGTTTTGAACAGCTTGCGGAGTTGAGAACCTTTCAGCTGTTGCCTTTTGGAGTGCGTCTAGAGGATTTCCAAGGCTAAAGCAGCTTCAAAGCTTTGATCCAAAAAAAACATTTTGAAGCCCGAGATTGGGATCAGATACATCGCAGGTGCGTCTGGTCGGGCTGCAGCTGCCCCACCTTGAGGCCACCTCTGCACAGGGCATGCTGATGACATTCTGCGATTTTTGATGCCAGAAGGGTGCATGCTGCCTGATTAGGTGTGAAATTTGTTCATTAGAGTCAGGTTGAAAAGCGTTTGCTAGTGGTCAATGTCGATATGCGTTTGCGCATAAGGCTACATGAGGCTACGCCCGCAAAAGAAAAAAGTTCAGCGACTCTCGATGATGACATGAAGCTGGCAGCATGACATTAAGTCTTATCTTTGGGCTACAGTCTTCTGAGATGACTCATACAGTCTAGACACATTGTTGTTTGAAAGCCACGCAATTTGCACACATGTTGAAAAGATGCACGCCAACACAAAGAAGCCGCCAACCATGAAGCACATGCGACATTCAGCTCTCATCTTCAATACAACAGCGCTTGAAAGCAAGAAGCCATCATCTTGATCTAGACAGTCCGCATCAGAGACCTTAACGTTTACTCAGAGCAGTGATAAGAAATGACCACCCTGAGTGCCATGTCCTCAGATTTTAGTGCCAGGGAAAGACTGGGACGTGCGTGCAGTTTGACACCGACGGTTACGTCCGCGTTCGGCTTGACAGCGGCGAGCTGAAGGACTCCCAGCAAGCTTTTCCCTATATAAGAAATGGTCGAAAAGTATCAGAATATGCCAAACGTGGCTTCGTAGTAGACACTTTGGATATGGGTTGGGGTAAGTACTTCTCTCAACATATTCAAAGCCCTGAGGGTTACAATCGGAGGCTGCCACGCCGATGATGACACCTATTCTTTGACTTCCATAGTCGCATGGAAATGCTTGCTTCAACCATGGGATGGGCGTTGCGGGTTGCACGCTCTTTGCTTCTGTGCTTGAGGGTTTCTTGTTAGAGCAATGCTTTCAACACCTGGGAAGATTATTCACTGAGTAGGGTCTCGCTCGGGTTCGGTTCAACAGCAGTGCGGGACCTAAAGGTGTTACAGCCGACAAAGCAGTATCGCGGAACCATCCTTAAAAGATCGATTGGCTGAGTCATAGTTTGGGGATGTTGTCAAAGAAGGCCACTTATCCTTCACGGCGTTGCAGGGCAAATTGCGCGACCCTATACAAATTCCATGTCTAGTACCCACCTCGCCACCCCACGCAATTTTGGCTGTAAGTTCACACCCCCCCCCAACAAAGCCAACCTGTGTGAAGGCCGTGAAGCCAAAGAACTTGATGCTGGTTCCGACGGTGGCTTGGCTTTTTTGTTCACAGTGGATTCTTGATGGTAGTTTGGAAGTGGACAGGCAAACTGGCAAATAAAGGCTGACGGGACCCCACCGCATGGGATGAAATGTGCGCAGTTGCCTGTTGTACACGTACAGAGTTCGTTGTACGGTTGCGAGGGCGCGCAAGACCTATTGCAATGAAGCCAGGAGTCTAGGCGCTAGACGGACTGTTTCTCCTACCGGGCTTTGAAGTTTGTTTGCGGCTCCAACAGGCTGCTATGTGTACTTTCAGGCAGGTACAACAAGTACTGCGCGGATTTCACAGCCTCCAGAGTTGCTGCTGGAATCTTGACCCCCAAGCAGCTAGATAAATTTAGACACCATCCCTCTTTTCCAATTGATTAGGTCTTGCGCTTGTGATGTCGAAAGTTCCTGCCAGGGCCACAATACTCCTTCCAGCAGGTAGTCCCGCAGACCCAGTGGGAACTATGAATGCACGGCAGCAGGCGAGAAGCCATCCAGTCCTGGGAACTCCGCGCCCTTCGCAGGAGGCAAGGTGATTTGGGTTTAGGACCTAAGCATGCGCACTACACGTAAGGAATGTGGTTTCTGTCCAAGACATATGCCGAAGTGTTCAGTATGCTTTGTAAAGATGTTTGCTGTTCTGAGGCTCCTCCGAAGAAAGCCAGAAGTGGCCTCAGGCAGCCTTTGCATTGGAAGGGCCCAGGGCGCAGTGCTGTAGCGGCCGGGGTTTCGAACGATTAAGAAGAATGACATGGATTACATGGGGTATGTAGGGCACAGTGATAAGGAAGGGCTTCATGTAGGGGCCTATCAGGATATGGGTGTATGCCACACTGCAATCATATGTAGCACTTTCTTCGGGGTTGATATTCTATCCAGAGTTCTACATTGCGCCAGGGGGTACGAGATGCTGAGGTTGTAGGGCTGAGGTCTCCGCATTTGCAATTGCTGCTTCGGGTTGTGAGGCGCTACGTCGGATTTCCAGGGTACAGAGTTTCTGGAGGCACTGGGCCTTTGAAGAGCCATTTGCGGCCTGAAGCAAAAGAGCCCACGGCATACGAAGTGTAGGAAAAGAGCACCTCAGGGTTCATAAGTCCACATGAGCATTTGCTGGTGTTAAGCTGTCAATCGCTTGTTAATTCGCTACTCGGCATTTAAATAGATCAAGGGTGCCCACTGCACCCATTCACTGGTGAGGTTTAGGATTCTCAGCATGGTGTCTGTCGGGCCGGCGGGCCGCTTAGCATGAAAACGTACGTGGTTACTGTAGCCTCCATCCAACTAACGTGAAACCCATGGAACCCTTTCATCTTTGCACGCGCGGTAGTCTCTATTCAGTCCATTCTGTGGTTCTGTGCAGGTCGGGCGAGGGTAGATTTACAATACGGACGCCGTCATGCGCTTGCATCATTATAGCGCTCGGGGGCGCTCCCATAACTGCTCTTGAAGACATGCCCTGAGCATTGAAGCGGACTGCACTCTTAACCTAAAAGCCACCATCTACGCAGCTTTGCCTTGGGTTGGGGTTTTTGACTCTAGCAACCTGGGATTGTAACAACTTTAGGCCCTAAAAGGGCAACCTTAGCCAGGGTGGCTGGTGTGTTGCTCCTCCTGGGCTTTGGTGGAGCCGCTGCGTAACTAGGCACAACATGTCATTTCCGCATATTCAGGTGCTCGTGGTATGTGTAGTGATGCCCAGGGTCTTCTATTTGTCAAACCCAGAAGGGGGCGGCAGTATTTGTTGAACTTGGGGGCTTTGGCAGATGGCTTGAACAGAAGACCTGATACAGGATCTCCCGGGACCATTGAATGACTAATTTTTGTAAAGCAGAACTGCTGAGTAAGAAAAAGCTGAGCTTCCTAGGTTAGCCTTGGAGCCAGCAATGCAACTGCGTCTTCTCCTCCACCAAAACCTGCTTTACTTCCTCCTCCTCCTCTTCCTCCTCCTCTTGCTACAGCATTTTGCTCCTCCTCCTCCTCCTCCTCGTTGTGTCTCTGGGTCTGGTTCCTGCATATTCTATTGCCATTCCCGTGTTGGTTTCATACGATTTTTGCCAGCAATTGACCTCTACATTTCCTAAGATCCCTTCCAGCAAGGTACCTGGCGCTTGAGGAGCACCAAGCGGAATCTGCAGATGCAGAGGACGTCAAGACGCCCGCGCCAAAACAGGTGCAAGTTCAGCTGAGCTGAAGACATGTCTGTGGACTACAGCACGTGAAATCTCTCTGATTGCTAAAACGCAGCTTTGTACCAGCATAGGATCCTCTGGCTTGTGGGGGTTATGAAGGGCGATACTAGGAGGGTAGACTATTGACTATAGCTTAGTTAAGCATTTGCATGCCAACGGGGCATGGAGGCCCAAAAGGCATCCTTCAAAGACCACCGTCCTTCGAAGGGGATCCATCATGGGTGTCCACGTTAGCTTTAGGAACGGTAGTATTTGCAGGTGTAGGGGGACATACCATAGGCATTATCAGTAGCTTGATGCATTTATTGGTTTCCGGCAAGAAGCCATGAGTAGCTACACTTGCTACACTTAATCTGAGGCAAGATGCAAAACAAAAGGGAACTGCAGGGAATGTCTATCTACAGAAGAAGGGGTACTGAGTGGGTGATTTACTTCTACAGTAGGTGGTTGCCCTTAGATCCTTTGTGCAAGGTGTTGAGTTGCGTGGGTCCGGTGATTTCGGTCATTTCGGTCTGGTAGTCTGGGCGAGTTGTTTCAGCAGCTTCAACCCCTGAAAGTTGCAACAGCTTCTAGGGCTAGCGCTCGTCATTGAAAGGAACCCCATGCGGCGGCATACTGACATCACTGCCGGTACAAGAACAGGTGACCGCGCCAAACCAGTCAGCCTCATTCGAAACAGCAGTTACCATCGCCTGCTCATTAAATAATGGTCGATCCCCGGTTTGCAAAGGGAGGGCTGCGGTGCTTGAGAGCCCTGGGCGTCATTAATTTTTGCAAGTAGCCATGCATCACCCTTTTGGAACTTGAGATTTCTGCTCTTTTATCATTCGGCCATGGCCTACTTACAGCGAAATCTAGAAAGAGGCTGAAAGAGGTGTTGTTTTCCTCTAGGAAAGCCACAGTCTCCGTCAGGCGCCTCAGCGAAAGGAGGCTCCTGGGCCAGCACCTCTTCCGCCAGGTGCCATGGCAAGTACGGCAGCATCGCGAATCTGTATACGCGACTAGGAGCCAACGGGTGTATGCTCCAGGTTATATGTGTCTAGATATATATATATATACATTTATGTACATATGAGTAAGAGAGAGAGAGAGAGAGAGAGAGAGAGAGAGCGAGAGAGAGAGAGAGAGAGAAAGAGATATATATATATATGTGTGTGTGTACATATATGTATACATTTGTATATGTTTAGGACCATGGACCCTTTGGGTTCCGTATACCCGATTAGGAACATGAGGGGCATTGCCGAGGCGAGCGTAAGCTTGGGAGCTTGGCTTGTAGGGTTTTGAAGTACCTGGACCTCCCAAATAGCCATAATAACAGCCTATAAAGCCATTATTTTGGGGTTAAGGGCCATTGTTATAGGTATTTGGGAGGTCCAGGTAGGAAGAAAAAGAGAATTTTGGATGTCATAGGAATCGTCCATGCAATTCCAGCTACAATAATTACGACTAACCCTAGGGCTCTAAGTCTATAAATAATACCTACATTGGGCCCTAAACCCTATAAATAGTACCTACATGGAGCCTTAGGGTAAAGCTATGTTACCTACTACAGGAGCTCCCGGATGCTAGCTCCTCCAAGTCTGCATGCAAGCTGTGGTCAGCCGGATGCATGATCTTGTCATTGGACCATTATATCGCCAGAATCAAACCACTACGGCCCCCTTGTACTCCTTGTGTGAACAACCCTTGAACACCAAATCCTAATCCCTGAAATAGGTTTCCTAAGCCATTTTGTGACAGGCCCTAGTGGTCCCTCAACTGTCCCTTATTCAATGCTGATGGGTAAACGGGTGTTTCTAAGAAATCATGTATGTTTTCGGGGGAACCCAGCAATAAGACAACAGTATTCCGGAGTCTACATTGGAGTCCCACTTTTTTATGGAAAACTACCAAATCCCTGTCCGCATCCCGCCCACTTTACCACTTGCTAGTACAATCAGCTCAACTGGATTTATCGGTCTCGTGTGAACAGTCCTGGCGCGTCTGCTGTTGATAAGTTCCTGCGCCGATATAAAAACTAGGTGCCACAGAGGTACCCTTTGTGGCTTTTCTTTTGGGGTCTCCTTATGCAAACTGAACATTAGGAAAAGGGCGCCATTTATGAAGGGGTTACTGGGAAACCTAGAAATCAAGCGTTTGTATCATTAGTTGTTGCACAGTCTTGCTTCCCCAGGTAGAACGCTCAAGTTTTGAGTAAGGGCCGGAAGTACATGTGGCTTGGGGACGAGCGCAGGGCAGGAGATAGTTTGCCTAAAAGGTGCATCCCCAAACAGAAAGTTTCAACCCAGACCCAGACCGCGCAAGTAGAGAAGGTTTCAGGTAGCAAAAACCGTCGAAACAATACTGAACTGCTAATCCCTTTGTTGTGTTCTAAACCCTAAACCAGTTGGTACTTCCACTATCAGAGAAAGTTGCCAGGCTGGTGCGAGCATCTCGACCCTTCGTCAGGGCGGCTTTACTACTGGCGGGAGGACGGATCAGCAACTTCGCTTGGCTACTTAGGAATGAATTTCGATCATGGTTTTGAGGCATGGTCTTCCTACTGATATCAAATGCGGAAACCAGAACTGCAGCAGTTTTTAGCTGTAAGTTTTGTTTGAGTCATGTCATCTAGAGCAGAAACTGCGTTGGGAAGTGGCACTGGAAGCTCCAAACTCGTCACGCATCGTGCTACAATATGAGATGCACCAATGTTCATCTATGTCGTTTAGGCTCATCTCTGCGCATTGGGTAGAACATGCCGGTACAGCTCGCCGTTCCTCAATCCTCGGGACTTGTATCAGGCCGTTGATTAAACAGTCGCCCGACCCAGCAAACACACAATTCTTGAACATGCTCACCTATAAGTCCCTGAACTTGACAAACTTCAAACCAAACCAAGTCAAAGCAACACACCGAGGTTGTGACTAGATTCTCAGACTGAGTCTCAGAGCATGCCACCTCTCCTGGGCCCCGGCACGTTAATCAACAATCGTTGGGTGTTGTGCTATTGCAGTACATCCATCTTGCTACCTAGAGCCCAACTGCGCAAGGACAATCCGACGGGCACAACCACGTGGACCCGGCCCACAGCGTGAGCTCAAAAGCGTGTCCGTAGCTGATGTAGCATACAACTTTCTTTCGTCCCCCAAGAGAGCACTTCGAACAATAACGCCATAGTTCGCCATAGTTGTCCCTTGTTAAGCTTCCCACTCTTTTTGCCGATGTTTGTCAATGGTGCGGTATTGCTATTAACACTGAACCCTGAAGCCTGCGTCATAGACTACAGATCTCCACTGGAATCTGTCTGGTTTGGAAAGTCTGGTCCATGAACTCCTGAGCTCAGCATCGTAGATCCAGAGCTCTGCTGATTTCTTCAAAACCCTGAGACCTCAAAGAACGTACAACGTGTTCCGCTGAACATCTTGTTGGTTGTTAGCGGGGAGTGGAGGAAGCGATCCCTATAGTAGCCCCTCTCTACTCCCATATTATATGTATATATGTATTATATATACTAGTCCGATAGTCTGATTCAATTTGTCCACCCCTTTATTAACAACGAGGAAAAGCCTCACAGGCCGCGCTGTACAGCTCACAGCTGACCTCCTTCAGCCATCGGTCGACAGGCACGGCCACGTGAGCTGTACCTGAACCCCAAAGGTATGTAGAAAGATGGTCTTTTGGGCCATATTTAAGTGTTTCAGGTTGTTTTTTTACTTACTTTTGGGGTTCAGGTAGTCTAAAGTCCTTCAAGGTGGTTCTATGAGGGAACATATAGGCTTTAGGGTTTGGGTTTTCGGGTTTAGGGGGTTATAGAAGGGATGATATAGGGCATTATTATATAGGGTTTCCTAAGGGGGATACCAGGAGCTTAGACTATGGTCATACCGTAAAGCTTTAGAGGCTTGAGACTCCTAGACCTTCAACATCCCGAAGCCCGAAGCCATGAATGATAAAAGGATTTTGGTGACCCCAAGCCCAAAATTAGGACCCCATAGGTATCATATGATAGTCATGGCTTCGGAATTTTGGGGGTTGGGGTTTCAAAATCCGTTTGCTGATGAACGTCAAGTAGACGCAGTGATGATGTAGTAGGAGGTGTCCATATGTTGGGGAGTGCTTGGGGTTTGCGCGCTGGTGCTGAAATTATGGCCAGCTCTTAGAGGAGGATGGGGACGTATGTCCTGTGCTGCTAACTCCCGGCCCCTTTAGATTGAAGGGTTGTCTCCGTCTTGGGGGCTTGGATCTTAAAGTGAGTGTGGTGAGGGCTTGGGCTTGTGGTCGAGGTTTCTTTACAAGCTGAATCCAGACATGTTGTCACAGGGCTGGGTGACATGGGCATTGTCAATTGCAGGGGTCTCTCTCTTGGGCCGTCATCGTGGGAATCATAGTACTCAGGGTATTTGACGATAGGACCCTTGCTTCTGAAAGGTACCATGCATAAGTTGAACTGGTTGATGTTGGTGGTTCTCGTTTTGACAAAAGGTTGACTTGCCTGGAGCTAGGTGAGTCATCTCCTTAGGGGGGCGTCTGGGACCGGCAAGTAGTAGGTACACTGTACACTGTACACTGCGTATTCTTGCGGACCTGGGCAAAGTGCACCAAGTGCGCGCAGAAGACAAACGTCCTCAGCCAAGCTATCCCCACCCCCAGGAAACAACCCGTAAATCCTCACAAGATAGCCACAAAACCTGGAGATGCGATCCTTGCACCCCTTCTGTGAGGTTCGTCAAAGCTGATACCGCAGCTGTCGCAGTCGACATTGACGGACGCCCCCGTCCTGTCCGTCTTCGAGGACTGATAGATGGTGGTTGAACAGAGCTCTGATGCCCAAAACGTTCAAGCACCCAATTATTACAAACCCGAATGATACGACTTTCAATTTCAGCTCCTGAACAGCAACGCAGCAGGATGACGAGCATGCCTGGCCTCCAAAGGCTCTGCTCCGGGGGCTATTGTCAAGATTAGCTTTCTTCAGGGATCCCTAAGAACTACATAGGCCTATGTAGGGGTAATGGAAAAAAGAAAACGGAAACTACACGCTATGTAGGGTCAGGGTTTAGGGCAGAGCTACTGTCGATACTAGTAGCCTTAGTTAGGGACCATTAAGAGTGGACATAGGGACCCCTCTTGTAGTTTAGTATACGTAGTTTCTAATATAGGCCCTAATTAATGTGGAACACGTGTCCATAAATTGCCTAGGTAATATTGGCTGTAGCTCGTGTGGGGCTACACCTGGACCATGTACGTCCGTCTTTTGTGGGGTTTGTGTCCTAGATGTCTAGGGTAGTTGCGCAGTACATTTCAGGAAAGTAGGACATCCAGGGTCCAGGTAGAGTAACTGGACGAGGGCTCCTGTTGTTTGATTTTAGGTTGTGGGTTCAGGTTGTGGGGTTCCAGTTTGAGGTTTAGATTGCGACTTTGGGATGTTTGGCTGAGGGTTCAGCAGCACTTGCATTCGGACTCCTTCTGGTTTTGTCATGCGGAGGAGCGTGAGGTTTTAGAGTGAAATGTCCAGCTTTTGCCATACCTGGCCGTGTTAAACTTGATCTCCCTAGACAGGCTTCGGGATACAAGCTCACACTCCCTGCACTCTACTAACAGCCTTGCCGGCACTCCAGAACAGGCAAGCGCGCCCCCAGCCTCCCTCATAACAGATATTCCGGCAACACATAGTGGTACTATATTAGGAATGTTCACTACCAGAGGGGTGCGGGTTTCTTGTTAGTCCTGCTGGACCACAAAGCGTCCATTATACGGCTTGCGAGCTAGATGCGGTGGCAAGAGTCCTGGGATCCTGAAGCATAGCCAATGCCCTCAACAAAAGATCATCCGAAGCTCCTTAACAATGACAAGTTGGAGGTCTCCCAGCTCGGACGGCACCGCCTACGGCTAGAGGCTATAACTGCGGAGCTCAGAAGCGGAGCATGTTACGGGTGTAGGAAATGAAGAAAGGAATATAGGGACTGTTTGCTTATAGATGTTTTCACTCCATTCCTCAGGAATGACGCTAAGTACGCCTTAGTTACCTTTCTTGGCTGGAGTGGACACTTCAGGTTTAGGATTTGGGGTTAGGATACGGCATTCTTGCAGCCAGCATGCATGCAGCCCTTGTCAGGTTCTAGGGCTTTTAAATGTCTGCTACGCATGACGTGAAGTTGGAGGGTAGGAGGTGTGTAGTACCCCCCAAACCTCAACCTCGAAGGCGACTAGTCGTCTCGAAATCAAATTCACAAGGAATGGGCAATGATCTACCTGAAACCCAAAAGTATGTAGAATAATTGCCTTTTTGGCTGTTTTTTGGTTTCGCGCTATTATTTTAACTACTTTTGGGGTTCAGGTATCCAGCCCCAAATCACGCTTCAGGGCTGACCTTGGCAAGCAGGAGCCAGCCTGTTCCCAAAGAGTCCGGGAACCCACCAAGAGCACTGTATTTGGGGCTTAGGGGTTTAGGTTTTATGGGCTTAGGGGTTTATGGGTTTAGGGGTTTAGGGGTTTAGGGGTTTATGGGTTTAGGGGTTTAGGGTTTATGGGTTTAGGGTTTAGGGTATCTGTTCTGTGAAGTATAAAGGAAGCCGGGAGTTCCCGCTAAAGAACCATGCAAACTCGTAAAACTTGAATTTTTGGGCAGTGCAGCAGTGTCCCATCAAGACAATGTGGGGGAGTTGACCGGAAATTTTGCTGATACACATATATATATATATATGTATATCTATATGTATATAGATATATAGAAGACGTTGGCTATGTGTTGCTTGTCCGCAGAGCTTTTGCTCGAGTTAGCTGCAACCCAGAGAAAAGAAGAGCTGGGTTTCGGGAGAGGCCTCTCTTGACATGCAGCGTCTACAAAGGACTATCTGGATATCTCCTTGCAGTACCTATATCATGGGCAGCTCATGTGTCATCGAGAAACCGGTGCGGGTTTAATGCGTACATCTGCTAATTCACAGGGATTGCAAGCGTCGTCCCTGGTACAATATGGCTGAGATGGCGACCTTCGTTTCCCCGCAGGCAGCGCCTTTGGGATGTTGGCTGTGGAGAAAAAGATAAATTCCTGGGTTTGCGCACAAACTTTGGCCAATAAAGTCTGAGACAACAACTGCTTACTGTAGACTATTTGGACCCCGAAGGATGCTGATCCTTAACCTCCAAACACTCAATAGAATAACTGTAACAATAGCAACAATAGGAATAATGACAATAATAGTAACAATGGTAATCATAGTAATAGTAGTACCAACGATATTATAGACATAATAGTAATAATAGTAATAATGGTAAGAATAGTGATAATGGTAATAACATTATATTAATCGTAGTAATAGTATCACTTGTGATAATAGATAGTAAGAGTTAACATTCAATGCAGGCCATCCGGCCGCTGACTTCAGCGCCTTTTCCACCGGAGGCGGACGCTAAAATGAGCAAGAATGGATAATGGAAAAGAACATGGAAACTACGATAGTATATTGGGGTAAGATATGGATACTGGAAAAGAAAATGGAAACTACCAAAGTTACTAGGGTACTACAGGGATAACGGAGTAGATGCGTAGCGTAATGCGCGGGGTAGATAGGGAGAGGGTTTCCATGCATCTTGTGCGTATCGGGATATCTGTCAAATTTATCTCGGCTTGTTTTTGGGCGGGGACCCTGTTCTCCAGTTGTCGTGGCGTGTAAAGTGACGCACGAAATGCCCTCAGAATTGAACAAGAGGACTTGTGTAGGGGCCACAACAGTGAGGAGCCGTACACCGAAGATGAGATGCTGCAGCCCCCAATATGAGCCATAGTCTAAACTCCTTAAAGGGGGTTATATAGGGGATTATATAGGGAACTACTATAGGGGGTAGTAAGGGGGATACTAGGAGCTAAGACTATGGCTCATACAGAGCAAGATTGTGTCCTCCACTGGGCTACAAGTATCCTACTATAGGCATAGATTCTTACTAGGTAGACCACCTAAAACACTACGCAAGGGACGATACCCAAGCGACTGAGTCCCAGATGAAAGTTCCGTTGAGCGTCCTGACTCGATGAAAGCAATAGGGTTAAGGGGCTCAGGGTTTTAGGGTCTAGGGGTTTAAAGGGTTTAATAAG